TAATATATTATCTTTACAAAGATATATTTTTCAATGAGTTTTGTTAATGAATTTGACGTATTCATTCATTAAAAGTATTCAAGTATTTTCACCGTTCATACTGCACTTTTTTTCAAGTTTAATCTCATACCAACATGCATATATTGATTTTTTGTTCCTAATATATTAAGTATCTTGTATAAAAAAATTATTATGTATCATTTTGAATTTATTTCTATAATATATGTTTTTTATAAAAATTAATTGCAAATATGTATAATTATATCAATAGACATGAAAAACTTAGTGTCTAAAAAACCCTAAATTTATAAACATAAAAATAATATTTAAAATCAAAGGATTAACTTGCAAATAAAACATGAGCCATTACACAATTTTAAGAAAGCCGAATAACTTTTTCTTTTTTTTTTGTCTCTCAACACGTGGCCATCAGTAGTTACGCCTTGCTATCTCAATTTAATATCTCCTCCAACTTGAACATCTACCATCCACGTGCCCTTTCCATGCCTTATCTCATTTCAAAACCACTTCGGTTCTTCTCCTCTCGTTATCACCTTCACTCACCCAATCAATCTCATCTCTCTTCCTCTTCAACTTTGTAAGGGAATCGACGGTTGTGATGAGGATAGCAGACGATGGTTTACTTGGAAGTAGGAATCCAATAAAGGATAGCATCACAATCGTCTGCTATCGTCATCACAATCGTCTGCTATCGTCATCACAATCGTAGATCGCTTCCCTTGCTAAGTTGAAGAGGAAGAAAGATGAGAGTGATTGGGTGAGTGAAAGTGACATTCAATAAACCGATTTCCTCTACTATTCTTGAACTAAGGAAACTAAAAACCAAAGTAAATCTTAATAATAAGAAAAATAATCAATACAATTTTTGCTTTAACCCATTTGTCAATATTTATTAGTTTAATTATTAAATTTTATTGTTAAATTTTTTTACTTATACTTAAATTTAAAAATAATAATTTGTTAACAAATATATTATGAGATGTATTGATATAAAATAAGACCGTGGAATATCTCATTCTTTTAACTTAATCGAGTAATGCTGCACAGATGGTAAATCTTCCGGGAAATAAGGAAGGTTAAAGAACTGCAATGTTTTTAACCAAGCCGGTACACCTATTCACAACTAATAACCATCAATCCTTCCAACAAACCAAATGTAAAGCTTAAAGGTAAGCAACGCCAAGGGGAATACTCGCATTTATAAGTCAAAGGAACAACACTGTTTTGGTAGATCCCTTTTTCTTGGGTTTAATATTTAAGGTGTTTTCATATTAGTTTGTACACATTTTAAAACTAATTAAGGTAAAATTATTCATATTAAAATTAAAAAATTTATACAAAATTATTTCTTTATCTACTTAAAAAATTGAGTTTAGTCAATAAAATAAAAGTAAAACTCCTTACTAAATAAGCTATCACTCTTTGGGTAGACCCCTTTCCAAAAACCAAAAAAGCAAAGGCATCCAATAAAGGCTCCAACTTTTTATCATCATGCAATTAAGTATACTATCTTCTTCCATTGGTGGAATAAAGACGCTATCTATGCTAGTAAATAAGGAAAAAGAAATGTGCTCATGCTTTTAGGCCTAACCAAAACATGTTAACGTGCACTTTTTAAATTTAAAAATCAAATTTTGAAAAGACAGTTGATCTGACATTCTATTGAAAACAAGACTTAACTAAAATGAATGGGCCTCAATCATCTCCTCTAAAATCGTTCCCCCCAAAACATCTAAATTAATAGAGACTCGTCAAAAAGGGGGGAGCAGTTAGGGCACTTCATTATCTTTACAAACAATACCTATGTTGGTTCCTCGGATTAGATGGCTCGAGTTTGGGAATGACCTCTTTACATTAGTTTTCATGGACCCATAAACCTTCCACCATTTATCTTCTCCAATTTGAATCACTATGAATAAAAAAATAAAAAAAATATAGAAACTTGAATCAAAAAAGAAAAAACTATGTGAGCACAATTTATCAAATTTAACCTTTTCTTGCCAGTATCACATATATAGCGTCCTTATTTGCTACCAGTAAGGACAATGGGTGTACTTATATATTTGATGCTTTTGCCAGCTAAAAATCAAACTTTTCCCTTTTAGATGCAGAGCAGATGCTTACTTACCACACAGGCCAAAGGTTAGACAGGTGAGACATTACCGGCTAATCAAATTCGAGAATGGATGCAGGGCCAACCACCAATCCATAATTCTCATTCACACTCTACGAGTTTGGTGACAAAATTCTAAGCATTTTCCATTTTTTGTAGAAACACCTACATGCTTTTGAAAGTAAAATTGAAGCCTAGGGTAACGTATAACTAAAATTTTAAAAATTAAAAAGAAAAGGAAGAAAAACTCCATTACGCAGCCTTTAGGGTAGTGGTAGGGTAGGGAGACCAACTTTAGCAGTTCCATAAATGAATATGCCAATTTGCATTAAGGGGGGAGAATAACAACCCTGATGGATGAGATAAAGCAAAAGAATTGAAAAACAAAATAATAAATTATTGAGTTCATCTCATTTAATAAACATTTAGGTCCTCCATCCTGCCTAACCACAATTATGGAACTGCATAAACAATTTTCAAAAAGCAAGAAGGTGTAAAGAATAGTTGGTCCACAAGATTAAAGCACAACCTGGGGAGGCCCGCATAATTTGGAATCCTGAGTGATACCCAAAATTCTGTCTCTTTATGCCGCGAAAGTGGTCTGCAAATAAGAGAAAATTAGTTAGTCTAACATTTTAATCAATGACGTTTCCTAGTTGCATTTTGGTTTCTTCACACTAAATGTGCCCGAATCTAAGATGGATAACAAACAGTATGTGTACATGCTCCCACCTCCCATGAATTATGGACATAATATCTTAGGCTAAGAGCCCCAAAATAAAACCTTTTTGTTTATTAGAGATAGATGGTGGGGACTGGAGACTATCAACATTAACAAGAGCTTCTGGTTTTAAGAAGCCAGAAGACTTTAACCGAGTCTGATATTCATTCCACAAGATGACACTGACCCTTAAGCAAAACCATGGTTACCATGTACATTTTGAAATTTGGAGATACGCAAGGGCTTAAGCATTGAAACAAGTTACATTTTTTCCATAATGCATAATGCAGAATTAGATTTAAATAAGCATTATAGCACAGCTTAAAGGTGTTTTAAATGCATGTTTTGTGCATTAATTTATATGAAAAAATAAAAACTTTGACATTAATTTTAACACCCATGCCATATAAATATTTTTATCTAGACAATAAAATTAATGTTAGCTTTTATTTTTTATGATAAAAATGTATAGAATAAATGCACCTTTAAAAACCATTCAAATAATCAACACTAGTTGGAATTAAAAGCAAAAATCTTGTCTAAATTAAAAACAAAGAAATTTCTAACCTCTGATATCCTAAAGACATAAATTAAAGGTATATTTAATAAGTTTTTTTACAATTAATTTGTATTGAAAAATTAAAAATTAACTCTAATTTTATCAATCTCCTGTGAAAAATTATACATTAAGTATTAGTGATAAATATAAGGTCAACTTTAGCAATTTTCTATAGAGATTAACTGTAAAAAGGTGCAATTAATGTATCAACAAATCCTAGAAACAAAAATGAGAATTAAATTTAATTGCGTGCAATATTAAGGATTTGTTTAAGAGTATTGTGCTATGCTGTAATTGCAATTGTAAATTTTTTTTTGTCTTTTACCATCTCAAAATATATAAGACATTAATTAAAATTAGTAAAAGTATATAAAAAAATTAAAATTAATTAATAACAATAAATTTACATTTTTAAAAAAACTCCATGTGAAAAAGTTCTATGAGAAGTATTGTCAACTAAAGCCTAGGCATCTACCTTCAACTTGAGGACCTTTCGGCTGTCACCGAAATATTGGCTCGGATGGTTGAATCCTTAGTCACATGATGACCCATGAACAGCTTCAAAAATTAAGGTGCATGCCAACTGCGTTTGTTTCACCATTGTTCACAAATATGAATTCATATACTAGTAGGTTATTAGAAAAAGCATCCAGCAAAGAGACAACAGATAATCTTCTGACCTGTTAATGTCGATTGTGCACTTTGGCCATTATACCTTCCATGGCACGACTACCTACTCTCATTCCCGCAATTGCAGCCCTTAGATTCTCCTCACTGTTGCATTTAAAAAAAAAAAAAAAAAACGTGAAACAATATGTAGAACTTAAGTGAAGTCACGGGTACATTTAACCAAATTATAATAAAATTCAAATTCTAGAATGGAATCAAGAAAGCACTTTAGGATAAACATTTGTATTGGGAATTTACGCTCGACTTTGATTCCACTTGTCATTTATACTCCTCAAGGCCAATTTAATATGAAAGCATAACTAAAAATTTATGCAAGTGGAATAAATAATAAAGCAAAATAAATCGAGGATCACCAATTTTACGTGGTTCTACTTGTTTTCCACATGACAACCCTATGTCCACAACAAAGATAAAGAAGAGCTACAATATTGGAAGTTTTTTTTTTTGAACAACAATATTGGAAGTTCTCTCATCAAGAAGCTCTCAACCCCAACTTTAATACAAGCTCTCAGATTATTCTAATTCTATCCCTCCCTCCATATTTTCTCACTCACACTCATCATCATCCATACTACCATTCATTGGGCAGAGAAATCACCCCATCTCTATACCCAAAGAGATTGAAGGTATCTCTCTCATCACCCAGTGGTTTGTGGGTTTTCACCTCATTGATTGCTAATAAGACATATTTATAGAATTGGTTTCCTTGGAAATCAAGTTGGGATCAAATAAGGAAACGGAATCTAAATAGGACTCCAAAATCTTATCTAATACAAGCCAAAATTCCAACACTAGTGCTTTTTAAATTAGTTTTTCAGAGTCAAAATATATGACAATGGCATACTCAACAAAACGATATCTTCACAGCTTCATGTTGATGGAATAAGGTTAAAAATGCCCCAATTTAGGAATAAATTACACAGAGATGGCACATCCTAAACAGTGAACTATCTCATTAAAATTGTGGTTCATCCAATCCATCCGCATATAAGGTATTCAAATGATTTTAAAAGTTAAAACTGAAATGATCAGACAAATGCATTGAAGTTCCTCTCCAATCAAATAATTGAACAAGTACATTAGGATTTGGTTTGCCATGTAACATGTGAGATGAACATCACCTCACAATAACTACATTCAGAAGTTATTAAATCAGTGGTTTTAACTGGAATCCTAGAATGTTGTTTGTTAAGGTTTCACTTCAAGTAATTTAAACTATATTGAAATCAAGATTACTTCCTCCAAGTTTTAGAATCCAGAATAAACAAAAAAAACGTTTTCACAATGTCTATAGAAACCCTTGGCTTACTTCTGGATGCTACTGAAACAGGTTCTTTAATTTATTTTGAAAAAAACAATTGTACAAGTAGCAGAATTAAATGTCAACAAGCAAAATATAAGGAGTTTTCTGAACATATAACTATTGTTTGACTCTAGTCAAGTGTCCTAAAAAGGTGAAAGTTGATCAGTTTACCCAAAATGCTTATAGGGACAACCATGATGATCTCCTACCCCGGGAGTTGATGAGATGATTTTCTGACAGGCATAAGGCGTATAATCCTGAAGCAACAACAAATTAGCCACATTAGATGCAATCATTTATACAAAGCCAGAGTCAAATTTCAAAGAGCTAAAAGAAGCCCAAAAGCTCAAGGAAATTTGACTCTGGCTTTGTATAAATGATTGCATCTAATGTGGCTAATTTGTTGTTGCTTCAGGATTATACGCCTTATGCCTGTCAGAAAATCA